CATGTGCAGGAAAACTGGGACGCAGATTGATGCTCTCCTGTGTAAGCAATTGGATATATGGGTTATACTCATTCACCATTAGCTGCAGAAATTGTTGGATGTGCTCTGTCTGTATGTACAAGTCAATACTATTTGGTGCTTGGTTCTTAAAAACTGCATCCAACATCCCCGCCACACCGTCATCATTTTTAATTTCAAATTCTACGTACTGTTGCATGTGATCCCCCAAAAATGATAGAAATCGACAAATTAGTTGTAGTCGTGATGTTGAACAGTCCAGCTGCATTATCGTGTACATAGCTCTTAACAATTCTTCATATGTTATGTGTTTTAAATTTATACAATCTTGAGGCTTTCCATTGTACGATAAACAACCTTCATTGTATATAATATTACCTCCCCAATAGCACATTAATGTGACGTGTCTCCTCGATATTTTATACCTTTAATATAATATCAAATAATTTTCATATTTAAATTACTAGATTTGGTTGCATGACATATTTTAAGGTGACATCATCTTTTATTCATCTGATCCCACAAAGATAGTAGAGCTATTAGCCTCTGCCCTTCAATTTATTTTGGAATTTCCTCTTTTGCTTGTTGCATCTATAAGTTTTCATTACCTTATTCTGTCAATTTTCCCTTTCCTAACTGATTACCACCTTTTTTAATATAAAACTCAAGAAAGAATCTCATGATTCCCATCTTTTCTAGTGCCAATCATAAGTAGTCTGTTAGCAGTAGAGCATAACCCTGGTCCTCATCATTCATATTTGTTTCTCTATTTCTTAAATGGATGGATACCCTCAATATGATCTGGCCACATCCAACTCAAACTCAAGAAAATCATGTTTCAACTATTGGGGATAGGTTACATGAAGCTCATTATGCCATTATACTCGGTCTAGGAACATGTTTTTTGTAAGCAATAAGTAGTTATATCCTTGTTTACCATCTTAGACAACATTAATTTTGATCCCTCTCTAACCTTATTAATTTGGGTCTCTCTTTGATTGGGTAAGTGGTTTTGAATCTTCTTGTCTACCTTAACATGACCAGTTTGAACTTATCCAAAAGACACGAAATTTGAAAGGTTAGCAATTGATGAAGCAAAGACCATCAATTTACATTTCAATAAATTCACAGTAGAACCTAAATTCAAACATTTTGCCATGTTACGGGCAACATACAATCGTTATAATTTCCGTCTTTTTAGTTATGTTATGAATTTCACATCTGTAAATGGCAAAGCTCTAACAAGTTCATTGTCACTATCAATATTCCTAACATTGTCAAACAAGTAAATGGCATGAGTAACCTAGGGTCTATTAAGATTCTCATAGCTGGAATTAGGGCTCAACAGGAACCCAGGCAAATCCCAAAGTTAGGAGTGTTCACCCTACCCTACGGGTAGGAAATTTAGTCTTCCTTCTTCTTACCCGATACTTTGCGAAATTTTTTTTTCTTGGCCTACCTTACTCGATCAAGTGTGGTATTCCTACCTGATTAATCTTGTAGGAAATCTGGTAAACATTTTTGTAGCTATTAATTTTTGGATCATTTTGATAATTTAATTAAATAACATGTATCAATTTAACAACACAATAAATCAAAAACTTTAAGACTTAAAACAATTACAATAACAATTACAATAAAATACAAGAAAGTATGAACATCAATCCATCATATTTACTACACAAATATAATAACAATTATTTTAAGTTTAAACCATATGAAAGACATTAAAAATCATGACTGCTCCAATAGATTATTAGTTTACCACAAATCATGTAACCTACACAAAAAACAAGTCCATGTTTTAGCAACTCAAACATCTACAACAATAAGAATGTTATAATATAAATTATACCACACAAATACTCTTATAATTACTAAAACAAATATAAAAAAGTTAAATATATTTTTTGCTGGTAGGTTAGGGTAGGATAGAAATATAAAAATTGATGGGTATTTTGCATTCCTACCCGATTTAATCGGCAGATCAAACATTTTTCCGCATTCCTACCTAATTTTTGCGGCTAGCCGTTCAGTAGGGTCGGGTAGGGTAGAAAATTACGGCCAATCGAAAATTTGAACACCCCTACCCATAGCCGATTCTTGTAGAAGACATTAGTTGTCTTCTTTGAACAAGCTTAGGACTAAACTTGGATTTCCTTAGTTAGGGTGTGTGTATTTTAAAGGCTGAGCTTAGGGGATGGCGAAAGCAAAGAGAGCAGAAGATAGAAGAGAGACAAAGGTAAGTATTTGCCTTCCAAAGAGAGGAGAGAGGCAAAACTTGTGAAATAGCAGAAAAGGGGCTTGATGGGAGAAGAAATATTCGTATGAAAGCGGGTTTATATCCGCTTCATTTGACAAAGCGGTCTTGCATAATACGCTTTCTGTTTGAATACACATTTGTTATTTAAGTAAAAGTGGATTTCATAAATACGCTTTCAATAATAAAAACGGATTTGTTGATTCTGGTTTACCACATGAAGTCGGATTTGTTGATTCTGCTTTTAAAAAATTTTGTAGATTGGTAAATAAGTTCAAGTCACCCCTCTCCCTCTCTCACTTCCCCAAAACAAAAAAAATAATATAATTTTTTTCTTTAGTCTAATGTTAAGGACTCCTTACATTGTAAAAATTAAAAAAAAAAAAAAGAAGATTCAAGGCTGAAGTTGGGCTCTGCTTCGCGACAAAAGGGCTTCTTGGAGTGTACAGGTATTCTTTAGTGTTGAAGAATGGTTGATTATTAATATAAGTTTTTTTTTCTAGGTTTTTGATTTCTTCCATAGAGATCCTTTTAAATTAGGTTTTTTTTTGGGGAAAAATTGTTCAAAAAATCTCCAGTGGGCATCTTTTCTTCTTCTTGTCGCTTTGGCATTAGATTTTTTTTTTGGGTCCAAAATTTGTGATTTCGAGAAGACTTCATCAAATCGGTTCCAAAACCAATATAACTTGTCCAAGTCGCACCAACACTGTCAAGTTATAACCGAGTCACCTCCAATTCAAGTCTAACTCGTGTTATATGTGTATCGTTATTGGATCGGTGGTGGCCGAGTCGGATACGATTCTTGGCCGATACTTTGAACTATGATCTTTGATGTTAGGTAAGCCATTTATTGAGCTATATTTATATAAAGCGTTAATTGTAGTATATATTTTCTGTGGATTTTGAGATATTATTAGTTTTGATAGATCTTTTTGAAGTGCGTTTTGAGATGAGACCATAGATTATTTGATGTGGGATACAAGCACTCTTTACACCCTTATTCCCGTGGGACCCAGGGTCACATATGGGACTACCAAAAAATAGACAATTGGGTAAGAGACTTGGCCCACTAACCGCATCTACTATGTTAGAACATCTAACCCAAAACTAATTGGCGATGAGTGAAAAGGCCCCTCAAACCTATAAACTAACTTTTGGTGTTTCTAATCATTTGATGTGGAATGCAAGCTCTATTTACACATCGCATGATCCACTAATAATCCAAAGGAACAAATGAATGGATTATAACTTTCTACCACCAGATAATGATCACAGAGATGTAAGTAGTATAAGGAATTTATCTTCAAATAATTCCAGCTTAGTTTGTTGGATTCAAGAGGTGGTCTCCTTTGTGGTGAAGAAATTGACATTTTTCTAACTTCATCTGCAAATCTGATACTTTAAAAAAGTTGCCAATGTGGTTCTTTTTTCATGCTTTTCTTCTATTGTGCGAAAGTATTTTTTTCCACTCTTTATGATTGAGTTTTGAATACTAGATCCATATGTTTCCTGTTCCGGTAGATAAGACCAAATTCTCACGTGTCCATTTCATTATTACCACCTTATTTTTTTATGTCAAAGACAATAAGCTTTTGCACTAATTCTCATTGGATCTCGTTGGCTCTTTACTAACCTCATCCTATTCTCATAACCTCTCTTAATGATGCACATACATAATTTGAAGTCCATAACGTGCCTTGAGGAAAAAAAATTGTAAAACGGTGAAAAGTAACCTTTGATTAGAATACTTCATTATTTTGAGTTTGACTGTTAATTTCTTTCCTCTTTTATGCCCATTTCCTTTTGCAGGAGAATTTAAACTTAACATTGAATGCAATCATGCCACCCTATCTGGTCACAGGTTTGTGATATTCTGTCTCTCAACTCTAGTTATCTTCTTGAGTGTCTGTTGCTTTTCTTAGTTATCAAAGCATACCGCAGTTAATGGCTTATACAATATATTTGTCTGTTCAACTCTGAAGCCGAGAATTCTGTTTCTAAGGTTTATGAATTGAATGCTTATATAAAATTTGATAAGATGCAAACTGATCAACCAGGTTAAATGTACACATGCGCGTGCATATGTTGCTGAGAAATATATGCGCATACATGTGTGTGCATACACTCCCGTGTATGTACAGACACATGCTTGTATGTTGCTCGAGTAAGGTTTTAGGAAACTAATATATTAGTGTATTTTTTGTATTTCCAATGAGTAACTCTATAATTTCATCAAATTCTGTAGGTTTGTTTATTCAGCAATTAGCATATTTGTGTTTTCTTTCCACATCTTCTATGCTTTTGGATGATATTTTAATGTTGGGGATAAATTGGATTACAATTTTAAGTGGGATTTGTTTCCATTGGCACATCTGAACTTGGCCTGGCTAGATATGTGAGAAATTTACTTGTTTAAGCTCCACAAAAGTGTAATTGAGATCGTTTTCTAACAAATTTGTCACATGTTTTCTTTGCAGCTGCCATCATGAGCTTGAAACTGCAAGAATCAATGGTTTACTTGGTAACATTGATGCAAACACTGGGGATCCTCAAATTGGTATTACAGCTGATCTGCTTGGCCTAAAACTTATCTTTGCCGTTGCAGTTAGAAACTAAACATCATAATGTTGTGGGTTGGAAATTATAAAAAAGAGCTTTTGTTAATTCTACAGGTTGGGATACAGATCAGTTTTTGACGGATGTAAGTGAAGCAACATTGGTTATGCTCAGTGTCATAAAAAACGTATGTAAAGATCTTATACTCTGTAGTTTTGTAATATATCAGAAGACTGTCTGAAGACTTTATTAACAAGTTTTGTTGATTTTATTATAATTGACAGGAGGGGTTGGCACCTGGAGGATTCAATTTTGATGCTAAGTTGTAAGTTCTGTCCTTTTAATTTTTTTTCTTTGTGTGTGCTTTCGCATTTCCTTTTTATGTGGGTTAAAACTAAGGGCGATAACATTGTGCAAAAAATGTCAAAGCTTGAGTCTGTACCAATCTGTCCTTTCTAGAGCCCCATTAATGAGAACTAACCGACTATTATGTTTTCTTTCAAATTGAATGAAGTATTTGTGTACTTTTTTATAGTGACAAAAATGTTAGATTTGCTGAAGTTTGTTAGGACAAGTTGATATTTCTTTATGTTTACCTGTTTACCTCTGTTTGAGTACTATTTTCCAATATTATAGGTGTAAAATAAGAACATAGTTTTTTAGCTTTCGGTTTCTTTTTTTTGGATTTGTTTTTTGGTGCGGGAATTGGGTTCCGTTTCATTTGTTGTGGTTTGTTTCTTCCCTACCCCGTGCCTTGGAGGGGCTTAGTAGGCAGCTGTGAACGTCCTTAAAAAGAAATTTTCAATGATTTCAGTAGTTTTTGTCATAGGACTTGAGGATGAGACCAGGTTTGCATTGGGGATTCATTTTTTATCAAGAGCATTGGGTTCTTGATTAAGAAACTCAGTGGCCTTCAAAAGTGTTAGAACCCCGGGGAGTTTAGCTTGATAAAACCTTCTGTTGCAATTTTAGGTTTACTTAGTAACTGGGTTGGAGATAACATTGCTAACCGGATGATTATTTACTTAGGCGGAGGGAGAGCACGGATGTGGATGACTTATTCATTGCTCATATTGGCGGTATGGATACCCTTGCACGTGGACTTCGAAACGCTGCCAAGCTGATTGAGGTTATATTTCTCTCTTTTACACATTTAAAGTTTTTCCTGAAGTAATTTCTTTTTTCTTGATTGCATACTAAATTGGATTCTGTTGTCTTGGGAAAAGGATGGTTCTTTAAATGAGCTTGTTCGCAAGAGATATCAGAGTTTTGACACAGAAATTGGGGCCCAAGTAGAAGTAATCCCCTTGCTTTACCTTTACTCTTTCTTCTTCTTTTCAACATTTATGTCTCCTTTTTGTGTAATCGGTTGTATGGAATGATGCTTTTTGACAGGCTGGAAAGGCTGACTTCGAAACCCTTGAGAAGAAGGCCATGGAATGGGGAGCACCCAAAGTTCCTTCTGCTAAGCAGGTAATCCAAATGTTTTTTATATTAGTACAATGGATCTGCTTTTGGTAATCAAGATTCTCATTGACGTCAAATTTAGCACGTGTAAAAATAATTACAAGACAACTGACGGTTTAAACGTTACTAATATTCATCAAAATTTTCCTTTTGACTAGCTTTCCTAATTCACACTGAAGAAATACTTGGCCGGTAGTGGTGTCAGAAATTGGAGGGAAATCAAGAAAAATTCCTCTTCAGAATTAGGAGAGGATTTTAATATTATTTTTATGTTTGAACTCTTCTAATTTCCTTTATATATTTGTTGGCCAAGTTCATAACCTTCGGAAACAAATGCATTAATTTACTTGATTTCGCAAAAAATAGGAAGGAAAATTGGGATATGGGGTGTGCAAAACCAATGTGTTCTTAATATTGCAATTTGCAAATTAAGAACCATGGTTTGTCTCCCCCCCCCCCCCCCATCTTTCTTCGTCCCATCTCCTCTTCCTTCTTTTTACTAACTATGCAACATATGAATGCCTGTTGGTTGTTAATTTTTTGACAATTTTTTTCCATAAAGGGATTATATGCAATCCATAGGGCTGGGAAATCATTGCTCCAGTGCTCTGTTGATGTTCTTCATTTACTGATTGTATTTGGTGACATCTCCAATAAAATTGATGTTGAGTTCTGTTAAAATGTTGCAGGAACTTGCAGAGATGATTTTCCAATCAGCATTGTAGGAGAAAAACAGAGTTTTGACATAGTTCGAAGTTTCTATTTGCAACCTTTTTTTCTAGAAATACTTGATTGTGTTTACTGGTGACAGAACCAACAGTTACACTTGGGTTATGTGTTACCATTCTCTTCCTAGTAAAATACTGTTACTAAACCCTAAAATAGTTATCAGCACAATTATTAGCTAGCGGATAGCTTTTCTACCAGTTAAGCCCTTTTCATGCTTTAATGTTAAATCTATATCTGGGAAGTGTGTGCATGGGATTATGTGTGCTTGTAAGGATTTGTGCTCATTCATAAACTCTTGCTGATAAGTTTGTTTCCTTTTGCTGCTGAGTTTGTTGTTGGGAAACTGTAAGACCCTACATTAAAAATTAAATAAAGATATTATTATTTAAGAGTTCTCCTAAGATGAATAAAATGATGGTAGAAACTTAGAATCATTGTTAAAAGATTGACCATGAATTTTGAGTTTTGGATGAATTGACTTTTGTTTCAAACTTAGTTTTGAATATGTTTAACCTTAAGAACAGTGATTAAGTAAGTTTCTCATTATTTTTAGGTCAAGATAAGGTCTCTACTGAATTGGAAGGTCGAGAAATCTTGGGAGAGGTAATATGTGGTATATTAGAAATTATGAAGTATTCCGGAGTTAAAGCACATTTTAGAATGAATTTGGGTAGGAAGAAATTAGACATTATCTTAATATTTGGATCATAATTTTTTATCTTGATGTCTATTTGAGCTAAAATTTTTAAAGCAGACACTAGACTTTTAGGGCTATAAAATGTATTTCACGATAATTTTTTAAATCTACCTCTAAATAGGTTAAGATTTCACTGGAAGTATCAGCAGAAACAAGAAGTCCGTTGGAACGCCAACCATTCGTTTTAGTACTTTGTCTCTGATAGAAAAATAAAAGTACTGGAAGCAACTAACATTCAAACATCTGACGTTTGAACGTGAGCGACGAATCAGAGAATTAGATTTACGTCAGTTGAACTCTTTTCTTCCCTTATAAATACATAAGGGTGCCTCCTTTGGCCTCACATCAACATCTCTAACCCTAGAGCGCCTTAGAGATTAAGAAATGAGAAGAAAAACACAAGATTAAGGTGGATTTTCACATTGAAGTGGAGCAAATCCTCTTATTTTGCACACAACATTAAGGAAGAAGAAAGGTAGGTGTGTCTTCCTAATCTCTTCCATTGAGGCTAAGGTTTATATATATGTATGTTTTGACTCTAAATCTATTTATATGTTAGGAAATCCTTGATTCTTGATATTCTTGCAAATATTACCATCCTTTAAACAAAGCTATGGTTAGATAGCCATGAAACTCTTTTTCTTGCCTTAAAACCCTAGTTTTCAAGAAAAATGAATTTTTCTCTTGATTTTTTCATTGTTCTTGATTTCAAAACTCTAGTGCTTGGTATTAAACAATAAAATAGTATTTTTGATAATCTCTTGCATATTTTCTTAAATTGTTCTATTGGAATAATACATGTGAAATTTGAGTATTTTGGATTTTACTTGGGATTAGAGAAATTGGTTGGGTATTGTATCTCTTGTGGATGTTTGAATGACCATGGGTGGCTGTTGACCAGGTATCGTAGAGTAGGTAGATGCGTTTCTTACTCCGTGAGGGTTTGAATTTTTCCTACCACTCGTAATGGGGTTGGTGCCTTGCGAGGATCAAATTACTATTCGTTCACGGGTATCGAGGCTAAGTGTTAGTATACTATTCCTGGGTGGGATTCGTCATTGCCAATGCGTTGGTATATGTCCTTCCTAAAGTTTGATATCCTTACGAGAATTGAGTTTTATTCATGCATTGTCATACATTATACCTAAAATACATTGTGGGCTATTGTTTATTATGCAAATGATTGGTTGTAGTTTATTGTGGAAAGAAGTTTATGGTAGAATTGATTTATTGTGAAATTGATTATTCTAGAAATGATAACTTGTTGGAAGTTGGTTTTACTTTTTCATTTAATTATTGTTATTGTGTAAATTTGAGATCCATTGAAATGTCTCTATTTTTCTTCAAAAGTTATATATGATAATTGTAAAATGAGATCGACCATTTTTTATGCTTTTAAAATCTTGTTCGAGTTTGAGAGGATTTTTCTACAGAGTTTAGTGCTCACCTCTTAAAAACAACATTATTTTTAGATTTTGATTTAGAGGATGAGCTCAGAGTTGACGAGCAGGTAGTTTAGGAAGCTCAACTTGATGGGCATGTGGACCCGGAGGGGAATATCTAGAACTAATTTTTTTATGTCCTAGACTAGGAAGTTTATTTTGAGATAATGTTCATGTTAATGTTTTTCTTATTCCTTTGTAAGATAATAGTTAATTTTTGGATGTAATTGCCATAGTTGGGCATATTCATTTTGATGAAGTTGTAAATATTATGGATGATGAAATGAAATTTTCTTTAATTATGAACTTTATCAGTTTGCTCTTATGATGTGAATGATTTTAGATAGTAATGTCGTCCAAAGGGAGATTTTGGGGAGTTATAGATTTGATATCAGAGTTTAGGAATTAGGTCTTACATGGGAGCTGGAAGTTGAAGACTATCATTGGAGTATTAGGTTCGGATGAAAAAACTCTAGGGTTAAATTTGTTTGAAGTTATATGTTTATAAGATATGTGTAGGATTAATTATTTGTTCGAATTCATGGATTAGCTAATTTTTAGAAGTTGACGAAATATTTTGGGATGGATATTCTAGTTTTATATCATGTCGTTTTTGGACTATTCTATGAGATGAATGGTAATTTGGATTTTGGTTTGTAAATGATGATAGACATGGATCTTTATGCAAGTTATGTTATCTATATTGGAGATGAGTACAAGATAGAATTTGTGACAAAAGACACTCAAACTCGAGTTGGACAAGTATAGCAGAACCATCAGTCAAGCATACTACCTTTTACTAATTTGATCATAACTCTTTGTTGGAAAGTTCAAATTGTGTACCATTTTTTTTTGTTAGAAGCTTAACTCGTATATCTTTTCAAGCATATATGTTACACATGCTAAAAATACCTGAGTTAAATTAGTTTATATTTTGAAGTTGATAAAAAATCTGCACTGTGCTATTCATTGGATAGCATAGTGTCGTGTTTTCTTCTTAGACTCTGAATGACTTATCCTTAAGCAAATTTTCACATTATTTAGGTTTTGATTGAGAGACACCCCCATGTTAATTGAAGTGCTTTTGATGGATAAAAATATAAAATGTGACTACAGTTTGGTGCTTTGTCGACTCTAAATATTTTATTCTAATATTAGTGTTGCTTATATTTGTGAAAATGATGGAGATGTGATAACTCAATTTAGATATGTGGAGGTAAGGTCAACTTAGATGTTTTTAAGATGGACTAAGTTTTGAATAATTAGTTTATGGAAAGTTATGTGTGTTACTTACTAAGTTTTGAATAATTAGTTTATGAAAAGTTGTGTATGTTACTTAAAAGTCATAGAAATTAAGGAATGAATGTAGTTTTGGTTTTACGATATGAACCATGAGAGTGTTATGTTTTCCTCTAGGGTGAGTATGATAATATGAGATAGTATAACTCTAAAATATGATTAATTTAAGGAATATAATGAAGTAACATTGAATGAGAGCCTATTTTGGAATAATGATGAGAATTGTGGTTATGGTTTTTAAAGGGACCAGAGTTTGTTTCATAACCATGTACTTGAGGTTATCAATATTGGTTTGAAAATATTACGGAGAGTTGATTAAATTTACTTGGAAGTATTAATAGTTTAGAAGGGTCATACATAGGATACCCATTGACGACGTTATTCTTAGGTGATCTTATTTTCCTTGTGAGTTTATTTCACTATATTTAGACTCTTTAAAGTATTAATAATCAAGAATCTCTTGGTTGAGTATGAGGCTAATAGTTGACTGGTATTTACAACTTTTAAATGAAAATTAAGGTCAATTTATGAAAATGAACTTATAGACATTTAAAACGGGAAATCTAGGAAGTCTAATTAAGTTGTAGTATTTACCTTGGACCCCCGATATTGTAGGATTAAAGATTATAGATGTTTAAAAACTCGCGATTAGATATAGTAGCATCTATTGAAATAAGAATCATTTCAATGTTTGGTGTTAATTTCTATCATTATGTGGGATCTTTTAATGTTATTGGAGTTGTGTGTTGGGGGAGTATGGAGTTCTTTTTCCTATTTCTTTTAGTACATTATTAAAATATGTTTGATTAGTTATACTTGAGGATTGCTAGTATGAGTATTGAATATTCGAACTTTATAGTTAGTGGTGATAATTGGAAGGATGTAATTCGAGGAATCAATAATGATTCATATGAAAATTGACTTTGACATGAGTGTAGAAACATTGAGTAATGTTTGGGATAAATGACTATAGTTATCCTACTAATTAGCAGATCATTATCATCTTAGAGATTATGAATAATTGCTAAGGCTATGATGACTAATGTAATTAAATTGAAGAACGTTAAGTGAATTATTGGAAATCGTGTTTTAGTTTTGATTATATCATAAGAAATCTGGTGAAAAAGAATTTAGAAATATTTTGGGATCATTGACAGTTTATCTTCACATTTTGGTATCATAAGAAATTTGGTGAAAAAGAATTTAGAAATATTTTGGGATCATTGACAATTTATCTTCACATTTTGGTATATTACAAGATATATATTGTACTGGACTGTATCCTAGGGATTCAAAAGTATAGGTATCATAAAAAGAGTTGTGATGTTAATGAAAATCCCTATGGATTGATTACATGGTTTATTGATTCTATCTCAAGAGATTGATAATACACACATGGAAAAAAAATGATTAGTGTAAATCGATTTGGTGAATATTTAGGGATATTAAGATTGATCTAAAAGTATGAATCTGGATACAAGTGAGTTATGAAGGGGATTGTAAGGTTTATTGATTTGAGCCCAAAATTGGGGACTGAAAACAAATATTTTGGAGGTAT